CCCCCCCCCCCCTGCAAATTATGTCTATGAAAGGAGCTGTTATCCTCTGATCTTATTTAACTGCCAGGTCAGTTTACAGCACTCCTTTACATGAAGATAGTAAAGAAAGCATGGTGTCAGTGTTGTGTTTAAGAACTTTGGGTAATTGTCAACATCTTTTGGAGACAGATCCTTACAGTGTGACTGGGATCCAGCTCAAAAACAAACAACAAAAAAAAAACAAAGTTATAAACTAGCACTCATTTATTATTGTTATAATTTTGATTGTGGCAACATCAAAGTGCTCTTGTGGGCCCCCTGTTGGCCTGGGGTTCAAGAGATTTGGGCTGGCCATGGGATTTCTTTTCATTAGAACTAGGTCAAAATTATACATCCTCTCACCTAAATATTTTAATTACTGATTCTGAGCATGTATTTTAACTCCTGCTTGGTGATGGTAATTGACTGCAGCTGGTAGGTTTTTTTTTGCCAGCATCAGAATGATTTGTTTGACAGGACTCAGCAGATCGACCGATAATCATCTGTTACCCTTAGATGAATGAAAATTGGYTTCTATGTTCAGGAGCAACCCAGAAACCACTAAACCTCAAAYGTACCATGAACTGTGAACTGCTGGAACACCAGTGACACCATCCACAGTGCATAGAGTTTTACATCAGCAAAAACTAAGAAGACCAAGAAACAGGCACATTTTATTATCACATTAGCACATTTTATCTAAGATGTCATAATGTGTCAGCCAGGAATGCCATTTTAATGTGCTGAATCCAAACCAGTCAGAAAAAAATTAGGGGACAATCTGTTTTTGATAACACTTCTTTTTTCCTTTCATTTCTTAATGTGAATATACCTAACATGGAAAAGTGGAAAAGCACAGTAATTTGAATGGAACACAAAAAAGCATAGCTGATAATAGTATATGTAGGCTTATATTATCGGACATCCCTAGTTTACAGCTAAAAATTCCACATCAATGGCTCTTAWRGAATTCACRGAACAATAACAACTGCCATCGATCAAAAKCARTACTGTGAGTATTTATGTMGATTTAAAGAAACCATTCRGCACAATTGATCCCATTATTCTTCTTGAAAAATTAAGTAAATRTGGTATTAGAGGGTCKGCACTTCAATGGGTTTCTAGTTATTTGAAGGATAGGAAACAGTTTGTACAAAYATTGGTAATATTACATGTGGAGTCCCTCAAGGCTCTGTACTGGGACGTAATTTATTTTATATGTGAATGATTTAGTAATGAAGTCTGGGGTAAAGCTTGCAAAAGCAATTACAAATCCAATTTTTGTTTTACAGAAAAGAGCCGTAAGATTTATCACTAGAAAATATTACAACCATCCATCAAATACTTTATTTAGTAAACAGAAAATTTTGAAATTCTATGATTTGGTTGACTATAATTTACTGTTTATGTACAAGGCTCACAGAAGTTTACTTCCAACATTCAGGCAAATTTTGTTAAGAGAGACAGTTGTTATTATCTTAAGGGGATGGAAATGTTTGTGAAGCCATATTTTTGTACTTGCTTGAGAGAAAGATGTTCTCTTACCCAGAGTATAGGATGGTGGAATGGTCTGGAAGATGATCATAGGTTCAAAAACATGAGTTTATCCAAATGAACCGGTTGACTCTCAATAGAAAAATGATCTCAGTGTGATTTTTTTTTAAATGCACCCTGATCCCATTTAATCATTCTCTGTGATTACTGCTGAACGCTCTACTGGTTTTAAATTTGGGGATATGAAGAGAGAAGATTAAGAAAAACATGCTGTAACATGAGTGTAAGTTAAAATGTGTACATGTTTTATTGTGTCTTCTTGTTTCTTCATGTGAAGCAATTCAAAAATATAAATAAATGTTATTACCAGGAACCTGTTGTTAATGCTCATTAAATTACTCAAGAAATTTGGTGAAAAACCTTGTGCCTCTATGCTAATAGCCATATACTGTATATTACCTAGTTTATTTTAATCTTAATTTTAGAATCATAATTTATTCATGTCCTGTTTCAAGTTGGAAAATTACTTCAGTGATTTTGTGGTTTGCCAAAGATTATTTTATTTATTTTGTTATTATTTTGTTTTTATTTGTGTTTTATATATAGATATATATAAAGACAATGCTGAAAATGATCAAAAAAAAAAGGGAAAATGAAAGTACATTAAAAGCCTTTTAGAAACCCTGGGGAACTACTGCTTAACATCTCTAAAACTCTGTAAAAAGCAGTCTGATATCTTTGAAGCAAAAGGAGAAACATGAGGCATGGCTTAAGACTTTTACAAAATTTTATTRCCAGCTTAAAATTCCCCCTCACCAACCCATCTTTGGAATGTGTTTCAGATGTGCAACGCAGAAATTGATGTTTATTTGACAAAAACTATTTAAACTGACAAGGCATGGAAAATGTCTACTGACTGAAATTTAATAAAATTCTGAGTAAATGTAAATATAAAGTCTTAAACCTGAACTTTCCATACAATTCCAACATGTTTCGATTTGTATTTGAACGTCACGCATTTATGTTGTATGACACCTGGGCTGTGACGTTCAGGTTCTGAGGAGGTGGGTCCATGCAGAATTTAATGAATGCACACATTAAGCAGCTGGTGATGTTTAATTTTTTTTCTGAACACTTTCAGAGCCCTCTAGCAATGACAATATTACCAATTATTCATGTTGATTCTTGTTAGAGAAGCTGTGGCAGTAAAACAGTTAAGTTTCACCTTTGAGAGATAACATTTTCCATCAGCATGGACAATTTTTATTTCAGAAGAGGAACTAACATTTTCTCACCGCCTACTGCCACCCATAAAACCTGATTTGGCAGCCCATTTTCCCTTCAGATGGWTGTTTCTTTTATTTGCATTTATTGTTTCGTAACCACTGAATTAAATGTCTCAGTCAGAGAGAGAGAGGGACAAAGGCTGGTGTAAACAGGCAGGAAGTCAGAGGTTCAAGGAAATCTGTGCACAACAGATGTGATCTGCAGCTCTAGATATCTTGAGTCAATCAACCAAACTGAAGCCAGGCTACTCTAATAAAAACACATTCCAGCATGAGAATGTAGCATGTATTTTCCTGACACTGCTTTTCTTAGCTGTTGCTGATTATGAACAATGCAGAAAAGATGACTCGTGGGTTTAGCAAGGGCAACGGCATAGGTAGTAGAGGTAAATGCTAAGGGCTCCGTCCATCAGGGGACACTACTACATACATA